CAGGGAGGGAAGCATTTGTGGGAGCTGGTGCTGGGGAGCCAGGAGGCTGGGGGAAGGGAGGGAGAGGGAGGATCTGCCTCTAGGGGTCCATAGTGGCAGGCTCACACCTAGAGCACTGTGCTACCCAGCCACCAGATGGACACTGCAGGCATCACCAACAGGAGCCAGAATCGGGAAGCACAGCTAGTGCCAAACCACCCCCCAGTTCCCCTCCTCCCCAGCTCCCTGGAGGCACATGGGGGCTTTCAGGACAGAAAACAAAAGAGGCCCAGGAAACAGGACAGGCAGCTTTAAGCTACTGAAGGGAGCAAAGAGGAGGAAATGTGGCTTCATTCTCCAAACTATGGGAGCTGGAAGGGATCCCGAGAGGCCAACCTCAGCAAGAAAGGGGCAGAGCGGAGCTTGGGCCGGGAGCAAACACAGGGTCAGGAGGGCATAGAGGCAGGATCTAACTCTCACAGATCTGAGAAAAACATGAAAGGGGCTGGGGACTGCTTCGGCCTGGATAGGGTGGGGCACCAGGTCACACCATCCAGGCTCTTAGGTGCTCATGGCCAGAGAGAAGTCACACTGCTAGGGAAAGAGGAGATCGCAGCCTACCCTCCTGGCTGACGGCTGCCCATGACTCAGCATGCAGTGTACACGCCTTCAGGTGAGCCCTGTGTAAGCAGGCACTGCAAGTCTGTCACTCCCTCAGGGCTCTGCACAGTGGCATCTGGCCAAGGTGCTGCTTCCACTCATGCATCTGCCCTCCATTCCCATCACCATGTTCCAGTCTGGCACATTCGCCCATTCCCTCCTGCAGGGTCTTGCTCCCTCTACCTCTAGCACAGTGTGTGCCTCCTCGCCTGGACCACCTCTACCCGCTCTTCACCAGCCCTGTCAGCCCTCACATCTCAGGCAAGAAATTTCTTCCAGACGCCCCGAGTCTGGGAGGGTCACCCCTTCCATAGCTCTCCCACGGTATCCTGTGCTTTCACTGTCACTGCCTGGTTTCTGGTGGTGCAGATTAAGAACCTCATCCAGCTTCCCACCTGCTCTATTTCCCCAAGCCCTACCCTCACATCTGGTCCATAGTGACGGATAGAAGAGAAAAAAGGTGAGAAAACCTACGTGTCAGCCTACAATGCCTAACATTTGACTAAAAGTAGTTCCAGAAAGAAAGAAAAAAATGATGAAAGCAATTAAAAATTTTGCCAGAACTGAAGACAGGAGTCTTCAAATTGAAAGGGGTCATCAAGAATACAAAATGATACATTTTAAAAGAAACAGCATTGTGGAATTTCAGAAACAAATTTCACAGATAAAGAGAAGATCCTAAATATTTCCAAAGAAAGAAAACAGACCGCAAAGAATCAGGAATGAAACGGCATCAGGTTTTTCAACAGCTATATTGGAACCCAGAAGAAAATAGCGCAATGGTCTTCAAAATCTGAAGGAAAATGATTGTCAACCTAGAATTTTCTCCTCAGCCAAACTGTCAATTAAGGCTGAGTGCAGAATTATAATTTTTCAGACATAAAAAGACTCAAAACTTTCTTCTCATTTACCCTTTTTCTGGAAGCTACTAGAAGAGGTGTTCCGCCAAAATGATGAAATATACCAAAAAAAGGAAGACCTGGAACTCAGAGGTAGGCCCCAGAAAGAAAAATTTCAGGAAAACAAAAAGAAACTCAAAGACAGAAATCTTCAGATTGAAACGACTGAAAATACAGTCATGCATCACTTAACGACAGAGATATGTTCTGAGAAATGCATCATTAGGTGATTTCATCATTGTGCAAACAGCATAGAGCGCCCTTACACAAACCTAGATGGGCAAGCCTGCTACACACCTAGGCTACATGATAGGTATAGCCGACTGCTCCTGGCTACAAGCCTGGATAGTATGTTACTATACTGAATATACAGGCAACTGTAACACAATGGTGGATATCTGTACACATAAATATAGTGATGGTTCAATAAAAATATGGCATATATGATAAAAATTGGTCACCTGCATTGGGCACTTACCATGAGTAGAGCTTGCAGGACTAGCAGGTGCTATGGTGAGTCAGAGTGTATGATGGGTGAATGTGAAGGCCTAGGACATTACCGTACAGTACTGTAGACTTTATCAACCCTGTACACTTAAGCACACTCATTTTTTTTAAAATAAAAAATTAGCCAAGTGTGGTGGTATGTACCTATAGTCCCAATTACTCGGGAGGCTGACATGGGAAGATAGCTTAAGCCCAGGAGTTTGAGGTTACAGTGAGCTACATCCCCCACTGCACTCCAGGACTAGGTGAGAGAGCAAGATCTTGTCTCTTTAAAAAAAAAAAAAAAAAAGTATTATTTACTCAATAAAATGACCCTTAGCTTACTGTATCTTTTTTACTTTATAAAATTTTAAATTTTAACTTTCTGACTCTTTTATAATACTTAGCTTAAAACACAAACACGTTGTACAGCTGTACAAAAACATTTTTCTTTATGTCCTTATTCTTTATATCCTTATTCTATAAGTTTTCTATTTTAAAATTTTCAACTTTTTTTTAACTATTTAAACTCTTAAAACTAGCTAAAAACTAAGACACAAACGCAGGCCTGCACAGGGTCAGGATCATCAAGACATCTCCAGGCAACAGGAATTTTTCAGTTCCACTATCATCTATTTTTTTTTGAGACAGGGTATCACTCTGTCACCTAGGCCGGAGTGCAGAGGTGCGATCTCGACTCACTGCAACCTACAGCTCCAGGTTCAAGCGATCCCCTCAACGCCCGCCTCAGCCTCCCAAGTAGCTGGGATTACAAGCATACACCACCATACCTGGCTAATTTTAAAATTTTTATTAGAGACAGAGTTTCGTCATGTTGGCCAAGAGGGTCTCAAACTCCTGACCTCAAGTGATCTGCCTGCCTTGGCCTCCCAAAGTGTTGGGATTATAGGCATGAGCCACCATGCTGGGTCCCCATTATCATCTTATGGGACCACTGTCATATACGTGATCCTCTGTTGACCAAAATGTCATTATGTGGTGCATGACTGTATCGAAAGGCCATGGAAGGGTACAGTGGGAGTGAGAGATAGTACAAAGCAAAGTATGCCAATGAAAAAATCTGAGGTAGTTATTAACCCCGGATAAAACAAATTTGAAAAAGAAACATAATCATGATACAGCCAGTCTGACTATGCAGTAAATGTTATTTCTATAATTGTAACAACATGAAGACTGAATATGTATAGGCCCCAAAACCATGATAACTATTTCAAGAGTGGGTATGGATGGGGGAAAGAAGTGTGTTTAGAGGACTGGATGATGAGAGCTGAATCCTCAACTACCATAATAGATAATCCAAAAAAACTAATTGAGAAATAGCAGTATAGATAAGCATATTCATCTGAAATATAGACTACAGAATTCTATCTGAAGAACAGAGAAAAGTACTTGCTCCTAGGAAACAGGCATCGGAACTGGGGAGGGATGGGAAGCATATACTATTTTTCCTTACAAGCACTATTTTTTTTATTTTATTAATTTTTGAGACAGTTTCGCTTTGTTGCCCAGGCTGGAGTGCAATGGTGTGATCTCAGCTCACTGCAACCTCCACCTCCCAGGCTCAAGAGATTCTCCTGCATCAGCCTCCTGTGTAGCTAGGATTAGAGGCACACACTGACACACCCGGGTAATTTCTTTTGTATTTTAGTAGAAACAGGGTTTCACCGTGTTGCCCAAGCTCTTCTCGAACTCCTGAGCTCAGGCAATCTGCCTGTCTCTGCCTCCCAAAGTGCTAGGATTATGGGTGTGAGCCACCGTGCCCGGCCCCTTATAAGCATTTTAGTACTATTTGACTTCTTGAATTATGTACACACGACTTTGAAAATATTTAAATTAATGTTTGAAAAAGTTTTTTTTTTTTTTTTTTTTTTTTTGAGACAGAGTCTTACTGTGTCGACAGGCACCAGGCAGGAGTGCAGTGGCATAATCTCGGCTTACTGCAACCTCCGCCTCCCGGGTTCAAGCAATTCTGCCTCAGCCTCCTGAGTAGCTAGGACTATAGGCGTGTGCCACCACGCCCAGCTAATTTTTGTATTTTTAGTAGAGACGGGGTTTCACCATGTTGGCCAGGATGGTCTCGATCTCTTGACCTTGTGATCCACCCGCCTCGGCCTCCCAAAATGTGAAAAAGCTTTTGAAATAAAGTTAATGGGGTCGGGCGCGGTGGCTCACGCCTGTAATCCTAACACTTTGGGAGTCCAAGGTGGGTGGATCACCTGAGGTCAAGAGTTCAAGACCAGCCTGGCCATCATGGTGAAACCCCATCTTAAAAAAAAAAAAAAAAAAAAAAAAAAAAAAGAAAAGAAAGAAAGTAAGTTTATGAACAAAAACATAGACTTTGGCACATGAACCATCAGTCTCTGTAATCATTGAGTACTATATTCCCTTACCCCTCCACAAAACAAAACACAATCTTCAACATTTCAGGTATCTCTAATTCAAGTTCCTACATGATATTAAAAAATAAAATGACAGTATACTAGCCTAATCCTCAACATTCTCCTGGATCCTTCCCACCCTTAACCTGAATTTTGAACAGTGGTATGCTAGTTTAATAATCTGTTCTCTGGAGAAAAAGTCCTGATTTGTAGCATTTGCCAACTTCTATGGTAGAAATACTCCAATCATGGCTGATTCAAGCTCCCACTGTGTTGTCCCTGACTGTGGAATTGGCAAGAGATGCACACAGTCAGCTCTCGGAAGCCAGTGCAAGCCGGCCTCACCAAGCCACTGCCTTTGGGCCACCCTAGTCTTATCAGCCTCCATGTTTCCCACTGGACCTGGAGCACAGGAGAGATCTGGCCATCTCCAAAGAGCTTTTAGTCCACAGCGGTACGTACCAGCAGAAGTAGATACTGGAGGAAAGAAGTAGTTCTGGCTGCAGGGAAGGGGTTGTGAATGTATCATTCTCCTTCCCTTCCCCACTGGCCATCCTCCCACCTCCCACAGGGTTACCTGTTCATTGGTGACCCCCGGGCGCAGGGTCCCATGCTTATAGTCCTCCAGCAGCTGCACAGCCTCTCTGAGACGTCTCTGCAAAAGAAAGAAAAGAGACATTGAGAGGCACAGATCCAGGGCTCCTGCAAATCTTTCTTTTGTGGGATTACATCAGTATCAAATACTGCCAGCAAAAGGTGTTGGGCCTGCCCTCAGTTCATGGGATACACACAAAATAATAAAGAAATACCACCTAAATGTTCTTACTTGGCAGTTTAAAAAGTGAAGTAGAGCGATGTGTGCTTCCATGGTCATCTCTCCAAGATATTTTGTTGAGTGAAAAAGCAAATGGCCCAGCAGTATGATGCTGTTTCTTGTACCAAATAAACAACACACATATATAAAACAGGATTTCCTATGTGAACATTTATATGTATATGTCAATGCATCAGAAAAGCCCTAAAAGGAGAGCAACCAACCTGGTGGCTGGGATTACCTCGAGGTAGAAGGAAATGGCCAAGACTTGGCAACGGGTGTTAGAAGGAACTTTAATCTTAATTAACATTGAAAGCTTTTAGGCTGGGTGCAGTGGCTCATGCCTATAATCCCAGCACTTTGGGAGGCTGAGGTGGGCAGATCACGAGGTCAGGAATTCAAGACCAGACTGACTGGTGAAACCCCCGTATCTACTAAAAATATAAAAATTAGCTGTGTATGGTGGCACACCCCTGTAACCCCAGCTACTCAGGAGGCTGAGGCAGAAGAATCACTTGAATCAAGGAGGTGGGGGTTGCAGTGAGCCAAGATCGCACCACTGCACTCCAGCCTGGGCAACAGAGTGAGACTGTCTCAAAAAAATAAATAACAGCAAAAACAATAAACACAACAGTGATAGAAGGAAGCTCATACTAAGGTCCAGATGAGCGACCCAGACACCAAGGAAGCCCGAATAGGGGAAGAAACTCAGTGAAGCTGCCCTGTTCCCCTTTTGATGGAGAGATAAGGCTGGCTAGGCATGGGAGTGCAGAGACCTCAACATATGCCCCTTAGTCTAAAAGAAGAATGCAGTCTCAGGAAGGGCCCTCAGTGGGGCAGGCAGGATTTTCTGAGCTGGCTGACAGAGTGGAAAATGAACAGCCAACCCAGACAAACCAGTGAGGTCACCCTCGACCCCTCAGGCCTGCATGTGAAGCACCCGCATGTGAAACACTGTGGTGGCCAGCACTGGTCTAACCCAGGCCTGGCCCAAGACAGAACCGTAGGCAGTCTGGGGGCCAAGAACACTTTTCTTACTTGGAATAGCTTGAAGACTGAAAAGTACTGTCCCTTCCCTTCCAAATATGGAAGGGTCCCACAGTTCCTAGATTCCAAAGAGCCCCTGCTTCCTAGGTACTGTTCATTTCCAAAGTGGAGATAGCTTTGTAGTTGTTTTTATTTTTTCCCCATCGTACAAGTAATTCATGCTGTTTAAAGAAAATATCAGAAAAAACATGAAAAAGTACAAAAAGTAATCTTAAACATGTAAACACACCCCTGAGATAACCACTCCAAAAGTGAGGATGATTTTCCTTCTAGACATAATACGTTTATCAACAAAATTGGATCGTGTTATTTGTTTTAACTTGCTTAAGGTCACACAAATAGCAACTGGATGATTTAGCGTTTGAACCGAGTTTAGTCAGACCCCTCTCTGCACACCCCACCACACACCCCCTCAATACCCCTAAAGACTCCTAGTGATGCAGTGAGGCGCCCACCCTTAAGCCTGCCCCTCCCATCGTCTCACTCTCTGCGGAACTGGACAATGAATGCTCTACTTTCCAATGCTGAATGGTGAATAGCCCCGTGTTCTCATTATTTTTCCCACTCTAGGGATTCTCCTGAGTTCCTATAACAACCTGGCCAGATTCCATCTCACTTGACACAGTCATCAAAGGGAGCCCTCCTGCCAAAAGAATAAAATCCAAAGAGCCCTAATCTTGGCAAAGGGCATGGGTTGAGAATGAGATCCAAGGTTCCTGCAGACAAATCTGAGGGCCCAGGACAGAAGGAAGGTGGAACCTGCTTTTCTACCTCTGAGAGCTGCAGCCTGGCCTTGGACCTTAGGAAACCTCTGTCAAAGGCTGAGGGGCTGGGGCTCCAGGCCTGTGGGACAGGCAAGGCCCCAGGCCACCTGTCTGGAGAGGGCACTGTGGCCTGGCTGTTCTAGGGGCTGGTGCCCCCGCTTCAGAGAAAGGGCCTATATCATGGACACTTGGGGAATGAGAGGAGAGCCTCCCTGTTTAAACATGTCCCTGGACTGTGAGGCTCAGCAGAAGGGCCTGAGTATTTGAAGGGTGGGGAAAGGTAGGTGGCAGGGTGAACTCTGCAGGAAATCTTTTCAACCAGGAACAAACAGGCACCAGCCCCTGAACACAAAGGCTGTGAGGGATCCAGCTGGGGGTAGCGGGAGGACACAGCCCAGTATGCTGCTCCCAAACACTACTCCATTGCCAGCCTGCCAGCAAGTTTCACCATGAGAGTCCCTTCGTTTATTTGAGAGGAGGGTGGTCTCCAGAAGATCCCTCTGGAGGGCGGTCTCCAGAAGATCCCTCTGGAGGGCCTGCACCCGGGAGGTCTGCTCCAGCGGAACAGAATTTGAACAGAGAAGAATCCTGGCCCCACTGGACCTGCCTCAAGGCCCTGCGTGAGGGGGAAGGGTGGGAAGAGGGCAGGATACCTCAACGGAGGGAAATGAGGACAGAGGGACAAGGAAGAAAAAGAGGCACAAAAAGGAAAGCTAAGGAAGAGTCATTGGAAGCAAAGCCCATCTCTTCTTGGGGAGACCGTGCCCTGTTCACACGGGATGTAGATAAGATTACCTCTCCGCAGGTCCACATCTGAGAAACATGGGGGCCATTCCCTCTCTGAGAAAACGGGGGCCAAGAGGGAAGGGTACTTCCTTGCCCAATATCACGTGAACTAAAAAACTGTGGGGTGGTATGGGGGTGAGGAATTGGCAATGGGGCATGCAGGATGGCAGAGACGTTATGTTCCACCATGCCTTGATGGTTCAGTAGCTGTTCTCACTGGGCCAATCTTGCACCGCCGAGGGCAGGGCCGTGCATCCTTACCAAGGCTTGACCATTACTAGAGTCACCTCCAAGCAGTGGGTCTTGAAGGCCAAAGGTAAGTTATGCGCAGGCAAAGTCCCAAGCCTTTCTCCTGTCTTCCCTCAACCATCCCAAACTCCGTGTTCCCACCCAGTAGTCCTAGAACCCCCAGGGTTCTACCTGTCTGCGCTGGGATGGGTCCTTGGCTCCCATCAGCCAGGAGCCCACCCTCTGAGAGGCCCAAAGAAGGGGAACCAGAGACACATGGCTTTCCCTGCCCTGACCTCTAGTCACCTTAGGAGGCCAGGTGAGGTAAACTGATACAGTTCTAGCAGCATGACAGGTTGTGCATCCCTTCAGGAAAGAAACCAATCCACCTATCCCAAGAACTCTGAATACGACCATGGCTTCCAGCCTGGCTACCCTACTCTTGGGAGTTTATTCTAAACAGTAAATTTAGCAAAAACTACAAGTGATATGTTGGCTGGGTGCAATGACTCATGCCTGCAATCCCAGCACTTGGGGAAGCCGAGGCAGGCAGATTACCTGAAGTCAGGAGTTCAAGACCAGCCTGGCTAACAAGGTGAAACCCCATATCTACTAAAAATACAAAAGTTAGCCAGGTGTGGTGGCACATACCTGTAGTCCCAGCTACTCGGGAGGCTGAGGCAGGAGAGTTGCTTGAACCTGAGAGGTGGAGGCTGCAGTGAACTGAGATTACACCACTGCACTCCCGCCGGGGTGATAAGAGCTTGACACCATCTCAAAAAAATAAGTGATACATCTAAGACTGTTTTGTGCAAGAAAGCAAAAGATAAGAAACAATCTATCTGTTAGACCAAAAAGTGTAATGGGATGATTATTTATGCTACAAAACTTGATTTTTAAAAATAATAAAGACTTGGTGTAGTCCCAGCTACCTGTGAGGCTGAGTTGGGAGGATCTCAAGCTTGAGAGGCTAAGGCTGCAATGAACCATGATCGCTGACACTGTACCCCAATTTTTTTTAAAGTTATAAAGACTTAGAAATGAAAATAATAAAAAAAGTACGTGTTCAAGGTCATAACTGCCAAAATGTATGCAGATGGACAAGAACTTGAAGGATACTGACAATGGGTATGTTTTAAATTTAAAAATTCCATTAAATGTTTTAAAGTTACACTATCCAGTGCTGTCTAAAATACATTTTTTTCTGTTTTAGCTATTTTTCCTTTTCTAGAATACATTTAAATGAACATCCTCACTTGCTGCTATTGGGAGTATAAAAAAGGTTGGTACAATTTGCAGGACAATAATATGGTTTGGCTGTATCTCCAGCAAAATCTCACCTTGAATTGTAATAATCCACACATGTCAAGGACTGGGCCAGGTGGAGATAATTGAATCATAGACGCAATTTCCCCCATACTGTTCTCATGGTAGTGAATAAGTCTCACGAGATCTGATGGTTTTATAAATGAGAGTTCCCCTACACAAGCTCTCTTGCCTGCTGTCACGTAAGATGCGACTTTGCTCCTCATTCAGTTTCCACCATGATGTGAGGACTCACCATGTGGAACTAGGAGTCCATTAAATTTCTTTCCTTTATAATTATCCAGTCTTGGGAATATCTTTATTAGCAGCATGAGAACAGACTAATACAGTAAATTTAGAAATATTACCTAAAGTCTTTCATCTGGATATTCCACTTCTAGAAATGCATCCAAAGGAATTAAAGGAAGTACAGTGAGATTTTTGTCCGAAAATATTTATTGCAATATTATTTATGAAAAAGTCTTGAAACCACCTAAATGGTCAATAGAGAAAATAAGTTATACAGAATAACCACGTGATGAATTATTGTGCAGTTAAACACTTTGAAACATTTCATGACATGAAAAAATGTTCATATACTCATAAAGTATATACTATAGGTATGCATACCATGGATATCCATCTCTATATAAATAACCATGTATGAATCTATGTATCATATATATAAATATCATGCATATGTGCATGATT